GCTGGATTTAAGCCATAGGAAAACTTTATTTGAATTTTTGGTTTGAAATCTCCAAGAAGAACTTTAACAGTTTCATGAGCTGCATGGAAAAATAAGCAAAGGGACAATAGGAAAATCCAAAAAGGCACATGGGAAATATGAGAGAATGTTATTACAAAAGATAACGTGGAAACAATTTCCTTTGTTCGTTAGTCATAAAAGATGATCAAAAAATGATGGTAGGCATAAGTAAAATAACTATCCCCTCCTCCCTTCCCCTTCCCACGTGTTTGCTTCTCCCATTTTGCAACTGCACTCGCTCAAAAGGAGGTTTTAGCCTCTGAAGTCCCTACCGCTCACCTGGAATCCTGAAACGCCCACTAGTGGGCGGTAGGGACCAGGTTGACAACCCATGTCCTAGATAGTTATTTTACTTATGCCTACCATCATTTTTTGATCATCTTTTATGACTAATGAACAAAGGAAATTGTTTCCACGTTATCTTTTATAATGACATATTTCCCATGTGCCTTTTTGGATTTTCCTATTGTCCCTTTGCTTATTTTTCCATGCAGCTCATGAAACTGTTAAAGTTCTTCTTGGAGATTTCAAACCAAAAATTCAAATAAAGTTTTCCTATGGCTTAAATCCAGCACACTTAGAAGCAACTAGACAGACAAACAAAACACCAACCTATCTATATATACTTAATAATTAAGGTATACAGTAATTAAATTAAGAATAATAACAATGTTTTTAATGTTTATGCTAGAGAAATCAGTATCCACCATGTTGTAAAAGCAAAATTTGCCAACATGATATCTAACATAAAATTCTTATCCACTTAAACAAAAACTTCATTAACATCTTCTGTCCAGCCTTTAATTGTTGCTAAGGAAGGAAAACCAAAAGGTTCTTTTTTTTCAAAAGGCAAGAGGACTTTCTTGGTTTTTTTCCTTTTGAAAACGTTTCGCTTGTCATCCAGAACCGAAGAAGCTTTTCGGGTAAGAAGCAAAACATTTTCAAAGGGAAAAAAACCAAGAAAGTCCACTTGCCTTTTTAAAAAAAGCACCTTTGGGACAACCATGATCTGGATGATTGAGAATCTCCATAGACGTTTAAGAAAAAGTTACTTTGCACCGTAAGTCTGAATTAAATTCAGAGAGAACCTGAGTGATTGGTTCAGCCCAACTGTACCACCTATGCATAAGTAGCGCTATAGGAATTTTAGCAGACAAATAGCAGGCTGTTAGCACATGCCTTGTACTTCTTAAGAGGTTGCTATGACTATGCTGCATGTTTCAGAGAAATGAGCAATCCTCAAGGACTCTGTTAATAAATACCTCAGCAGTAGAATCACACACAAATGACAGGGGCTGTGGAGAACAATTGTTTTGCCAAAGCCAAATGGAATAAGTTCAGTTCAAAAGCTTTTTCTCAGCTATACGGTTACACGGTGTACTTTTGAAGTGGCCCTGATTAACTTGCAGGGGATGTTCCGTTTAAATAGTGAATGCTGTCTGTGAAAGTGAAACATGACCAATTGTTCTAATGCAGTGAGAAGGAAAAGGAAAAAAAAAAGAAAAGGAAAACACTCAGCTTTTAAGGGGAAAACAATCTCAGGGCACCAGGAATTTGTTTGTTTTTTTTCCTTTAACTAACTAAAGAGTCTGATACGTTTCTATTTTTTATTCCTTTGTCATGAGCTATAAATGTGGCTCCTGGCTGCCTTCTGTTCTTTATATGTTTAAGCCAGTGCTTCCCAAAAGTTTTCTTTCAGTACCCAAAACTGCTTATCAGAAAGTCCTTTTTTTCCAATTTAGGTAAAACACTTCAAGTCACTTTAAATGTCCCCATTCTGATTAGTTAATGGGTTTGTGTGTCATTACTGACAGAAAAACCACTTTGACCCAATTTGGGGTAATTTACTTGGGTTTGGAAGCACTGCGTGAAGCCTTCTCTATTTTTTTCCCCCTCTTTCCTGTTTCTGCCAAACAATGTTATGGGATCCTTAGTGCTCTCTAAGGTTGATTATTTTCTTGCTGTTGTTTCATTACTCAGTTGGGTAACATCATCAGTGGACTGATAATATCACCTAGTTGGGTAATGAAATGTCTACAAGGAAACAACCATCCTCAGAGAGAACCACAGATCCCCACAGTTAAACCCTACAAGTGTTCTCTTCTATTAAATTTTAGGTCAGTTGGCCTTTAAAGCACAAGATGGCTGGGAGAGAGCTATGCAGAGATTGAGAGGAAAAGCAGTTAAAAACCAAGAAAAGGTTGAAGGGAAATTAGCCATTCTGTGGAATGTCTAATGTTAATAAGAGAAATATTTATTTTCCAGCTGGTCAATTCTGCATGGTGATAATGAGTTTCCATTCTAGAATAGGATTCTGATTTTCTTCCAAGGGTAATAATTATGCATTTAGTACCATAAATAATGTTTCTTTTGCTTTTCCATCATGTTCTCTTTTGAATAAGTTTTAAAATTCATTGAAATCCAGTGTGATCTAGTGGTTAAGGCGTCAGACTAGAAAGTAAGAAACACTGAGTTCTATTCCCACCTTACGCTGAATGAACTTGGGCCAGTCACTCTCTCTCATCCCAATCCACCTCACAGGGTTGTTGTTATGGAGAGGAGGAGGAGGAAAAAGTATTAGGCATATTTAACCACCTTTAGTTATTTATAAAAACAATAAAGGTGGGATAAAAAAAATCTAAAAATAAATAGAACGGGTCAGTTTCTTGCATCCTGTATACACAATGCCTTCCTTCAGAGCACTGTGCCCTTTTCAGTGAACACTAAAGGCAAAAGAAGGATATGCCAGATGCTGCAGATGTGCAGACAACTGGATTTGTGAATTTTTAGCCAAAACAGATCAGTGATAAATATGCATTCATGAGCAAATTCTTGTGAATAAAAGTGGGTTGAAACCTAGCCTAGGTGGATATTTGGTGGTGGTGCAGTGGTTAGAATGCAGTATTGCAGGCTAATTCTGCCAACTGCCAGCAGTTTGATTCTCACTGGCTCAGGGATGACTCAGCCTTTCATCCTTCCGAGGTCGGTAAAAATGGAAACCTAAATTGTTGGGGACAATATGCTGACTCTGTAAATCACTTAGAGAGGGCTGTAAAAACACTGTGAAGCAGTATCTAAGTGCTATTTCTGTATTTCCTGCATCAATTCAGTGCAGCTGGGAGGAAGGAGCAATTCATAACATCTTCCTTACTGCCCTCCTCCTTTCTTACCTAGCCCTTCTATCCCAAGGTGGAGAATGAGAGCTACCAGACAAGCACAAAGCCATATAACACAATGAAATGTAATATAAAACATTTAAAACAGAGATCATTGTTTTTTTTAAATCAGCTAATGCATTCCTGCTGGTTATTTCACCTGTCCTTTGAGAGAGAAATAAATTTGTTTATTCCATATTTTTTTTTGCACGAGTGATTTTGAATTTTGTTGTAGGCACTGCTCCTTAATTTTGTTCAGTCTGTTGTTATTTTTTTGTTAAAGTTTTCATTTATTTATTGGGTTGTTTTAATCTTAGTTCGAGGCAGCAGGACTGTAAGCCAGCAAACTATTTATTTGAAGTGGCATTTTTACTTAGGGAAACAAAATTAATTAATTAATTAGCACAACCCTGTCAGAAGAGCCAGGTCAGGATCATTTACTAACTTGAGACGGAAGATCGGTTTCTCAGGTGAAAGGATAGGGTTTCAACATGAGCTCAAAATAAGCAAATAAGTAATGCTCTTCTGTTACATACAGAGATTGTAGCCCTTGAGTACTATGGCAACAGCTCTAGTTTCCAAAAGCGAGAGAGAGATATTTTAAGTGTACTGGCTTTAAAAGTTTAATGAGAGTGGTTGTATATGATATCGCTCCTTTTTTTTCCTATATGAGGTCTACTCTTGGCTACTTTCTTTACAAGCAGCTGTTATTTTGGTTGATTATTTTTCTTGCAATAGCATTACACAATGTGTTAAGATGAGTTATGTACAATTAAAATAAATATCCCCTCCCTAATATTTTCATAAATGACAGGGAGGGGAAGAGGTGTAATGGGCTCGCCTGGATGGAGGTATATTTTGTCCTAGGAAACAAGAGATTCTTATATGCACAATCTGGTGAACTCTAGAAAAATAGGATGCCGTTATGGAACTGTTCCTGGACTCTACAGCTTTCGCCTGTTGGTGGGGAACTGAATGCTTGAATTTATTTATTTAGACAATTTATATGGCTGGCCACCCACTTTCAGTGACTCTGGGTAGCTTACAAAAAAATAAAAATCCTAGGTAACAAAAATAAGCCCCTCCCCCAGCGACAGCAGTGAATCAAACGAGCCACTTGATTGGCTCCATCCCACTCTGGATTCTCCAGGCCCACTAGCAAAAGCAGTTCTTTAGGGCCTTGCAAAAGAGTTTTAAAGTGGGGGCCATCTCTGCAGGGATGATATTCCAAAGGAAGGGAGCCATCATGGAGAAGGCCCTTCTTCTGTATCCCACCAGATGAACCTCCTTAGGAGATTGAACCCACAACATTCCCGGCCTCCCTTCTCTGGTGGGTTGGGTGGGTATAATGAATGTTTTCTTATGACACTGGTGGTTTATTCTGCATGTAAAAATACCGAACAGTTATTTATTATATTAACCATCTGATTTTCCATCACTGGCCCAGCAGTAAAAACAGGTAGGTAGGTAGGTAGGTAGGTAGGTAGGTAGGTAGGTAGGTAGGTAGGTAGGTAGGTAGGTAGATAGATAGATAGATAGATAGATAGATAGATAGATAGATAGATAGATAGATACCCTGTTTCTCCCAAAATAAGACCTGCCTGGATAATAAGCCCAATTGGGCTTTTGAGCGCGTATGCTAAAATAAGCCCTCCACCGAAAATAAGCCCTCCCTGAAAATATTGTAACACAGCAGCAGCCATGAGATGCCCACGCTCGCTGCCTCCCGCACCTCAAAAATAATAATACCTCCCTGAAAATAAGGCACGCACACACACAGATTTAAATTTGATATAAAAACTGTTATTCGTAGTAAACCAATTTACCAAAATTGTCATTTTATAAATCAACAACTGATAACCCAGGGTCTCCTATCTCAGTTATCATCAAATGCTTGGCAGAAGATATTCCAGCAAGGCAGATACCAGCCTAACAAGATGTACCAATAGAAAAGAGTATTTGTAACACAGGGCTGAACAGTGGGTTCTGGCGCTTCTTGAACTTGGTTGTAAACAACAACCTAATCAAGTAACTACCAAGAACACTCACTCCCAGGGGAAGCCATTTGCACATAAACAGAGAGCATATCACATTCCCATTTAGTGTGATGATGTTACCTAGTTAGGTTATGAAATGTCTGCAAAAAAACAAACAAGCTCAGATAACACCAAGAATCTTATACTAAAAAGATGTATTTTGCGTTTTCATGATTTTTGCATGAAGGAAGACCCCAACTGAACTTCATCTGGTCTGTATAACAGTGGAATAAGATTATTGGGTAAAAAAGCTGTCCCTAAACTATTGTGAATATGGTAGCTATTAATGGAAAGAATTGGCCAGGTATTGAGTTGTATGGCATTCATTAGCCATACAGCCTGGGTCTAATAGGAGTTATACTTCAGGGTACCTGAAAGGTATTTGATTGGGAAAATTGCTTGCAGCGTTCTGCTGTAAGCACAGGGGCACAGATTTGTCTTCTGCCTAAGAGCATTTCTTCACAGCTGCTTTTGTCATCTTTTGACAACTTGGTTTTGGCATTCACATACCCTTCCTTTCTTTCGCTCTCAGGTATTTCCTTTACCTGTCGGTGTGCAAAGATGTAAACCTCTTTGTGGCTAGAGGTGTTCAACCAAGAATTAGAGGTCCAGCAATTGTCGTAGTTGACGCTGGTCAGGCCCAGCACATGACTTTGACTTTGCACTCCATTCCAGCAACAGTTTATATTTTGCAAAAAGCCAATGCTGAGAGATGCATGCTGATAATGACATATCCTCCCCTGTGTTTTGTTCGTGCGTGTCTACTTTGACACAGATGCTTTTCTTTTACAGACTCAGCTAAACCTGCTTCTGGAAAAGCTTCGTAGCACCGTAAGTCATGGAAAATTTTATGCCTTCTGTTTACAAGGTCTCATCTATTTTTGTATTTTTGCACTAGATCTGTTAATAAAATAAACCCTAGATTTGTTGTACTAATGCAAGGATGGAGATCTGTTAAAGCCAGGGCATCAGTTAAATTTGAACAGAATTTTACACATGAGCATTTTGCATATTTGGCTTAAAAAAAAAAAGGCAGGGAGCAGATGGGAGCTGACACAAACACCATATTTAGCTTTAAGAGTAATCTTGCCTAAATCCATGTATTATGGGAATCCTTTATTGTTTTACAGGTATAGAATCATCTAGTCAGTTCATCAGTGATTCTGCATTACACCAAAGAATTAGGGCAGTGGTTCCCAAACTTGGCAACTTTAAGACTTGTGGACTTCAACTCTGCTCTGCTGGCTGGAGAATTCTGGGAGTTGAAGTCCACAAGTCTTAAAGTTGCCAAGTTTGGGAACCACTGAATTAGGGAAACATGCTTGCAGGAAACTGACCAATATTTTTTTTAAAAAAAAAAGAGCTAGAGAGAGATTGGAACCCTTTGGGGTCAGTAGTTTATTTGTAGTCCTTAACATAAGCATCTCAGAACAAATTTATTTGGAGAATTTATATATATATATATAAATTGTGAGCAAGAAAATGTTAAATGAAGAATTAAAAACTTGCAGATGGAAGATGACATGCAACGCACCAACTCCTCTTTACTGTGAGCCTCCACAGTGGACCAGAACAATAAATTCAACCTTTTTTTGTATGTTTGTGATGATTTAAGCAATAAAACGAGTGCATTTCATTTTGTGGTCCTGCTCAGATTTGGAATGCTGCGCTTCATATGCCACATTAAGCCTTGTATGGGACCTCAATCCAACAGAATTTACCTGCTGCTGAACTAGAGGAAGTTCTTGCTAGTCTGTGGTCCTCTATGAAATGTGCAGGATAGCAAAAGAATGGTGCAGAATAGCACCACTCTAGCCAGTCTTGTGCATTTTGCTTCCCATTCCAGAGGTTAAATGTCAAATCAGCCATGGTTCTGAATTCATTGTAGCCAGTTCATGCTGGCTCAGGAATTCTGGGAGTTGAAGTCCAGAGGTGATAAAGATGCCATAGTTGCCCACCTTGGGTTTAGACCGCTAAGTATAAATATTTTCTTCCCTTTCCTCCTTTTGTTTCCCTTTTAAATGGCTTTGAATAGAATTAATTTTTCTTATCCCTCCAAATGAAATTGATTTGTCATGCATTTCTCCACATTTAAACAACAAAAAAAAAATAGTTAAGCATTAAATGAGCTGCTAATCTCCCCACCGTGGGCATTATAGTGGCTTTAACAATACTCTTGGCCTTCTTTTCCAAACTTCCGTGGCCTGATGACGATGACCCCAGCCGAGCAGTCTTCTTCCTTCCTGTCAGCATTTGTAGGCTGCTAGAGCAAATATCAGAAACCTTAGAAGACCTGATTTTCCCAAGGCTCTTGACTCCTTTGTGTAGAGGTCAGGCATTTGAGAAGTTACATGTTTCTGCTAGGTATTAAGCTTGGTATGAATTGAACGTTATTGGTGGTCTTACGGAAAGACAATCTCTGTGCGGAAGCTTTCACACAATATTTATAGAGGTGTAAAAACAATGTCATTAGGTCAAAGTTAAATATTTCAACATATTTACTGCTTCTGAGTTTATTAACTCAGGAGCCTCGGTGGCGCAGTGGTTAGAGTGCAGTACTGCAGGCTATTCCTGCTGGCTGCCTGCAATTTGGCAGTTCAAATGTCACCAGGCTCAAGGTTGACACAGCCTTCCATCCTTCCGAGATGAGTAAAATGAAGACCCAAATTGTTGGGGGAGGCAATATGCTGACTCTGTAAATCGCTTAAGAGAGGGCTGTAAAGCACTGTGAAGCGGTGTCTAAGTGCTACTGCTGTTAAAAAAAAAAGGAGGGGTGGGAGACTTAATATAAATGTATAAAAGGAAAAATATCCACTGGTGGGACTAGATAAGAGTATTGTGGCATGAGTTGTCTCTAACATCCTTTTCAAGTAGTCTTAATCATGATTATGCTAATCTTCTGCCTTTACAAAATAGGGGTCAAGCTTTATTCGATGCATCAAACCCAATCTAAAGATGACCAGTCACCAATTTGAAGGTGCTCAAATCCTCTCTCAGCTCCAATGTTCAGGTAATTTAGTGTATCTTCTGAAGATGATACTTTAGATCTCTAATAATATTCAAATGGGGATTCTGGTAAAACCGAATTGCAGTGCTTTGTGTAAGAGTTTTTTAGTCAGGATAAAAGTAAGGTTTTTTTAGTGTTCTGTTGCTGTAGTGAAAATATTCTGCAAAATAATAAGATGTAGATAATACTGTATTGACTGTTAAAAGATTAAAAAAAATAAACTTAATAAACTTCTCAAACTTTCAGTGCAAAAAAATAATGTAGTATTCTTTGTACTTAAAATGTAGTTTATTTAGAAATATGTGAAAGCCTACAGATCACAACCCTTCCAAATGCCTACAACCCAAAGTAAACTGAGCATCCTATTTTTTTTTGAACATATAAGAACAGTGCACCATCCAATTAGGAAGATACCATTTTTCAATCATCATTGAGTTTTTGCCTTCTCCACCATCGCAAAAACTGGATTCCCCTGTAGTGGTTGCACTTTGGACACTATATTATCAATCTGCCATTCAATACTATCAATATATTAGCTGTTTCTAAATTATTGTGGTAGAATGTTCTTAGTAAAGTTCAGGTGTTCATTTAATCCCTCCCCTTCCACCAAAAGAAAAATGAAATAATTGTACCTTGTAGGTGAGAATCGTACAAATTAGTTTGGATCAGAAGCCAGACTGGATTCTGATGGGCAGCAAAGCCAGGACAAATGGATCCATTGGCTCCGGGACACTGCAATATCCCCCAGTATCATGCTATTCTTATAGTGCATTATAGGAATAAGGTAAAGGTTTCCCTCGAACATATGCGCTAGTCATTTCTGACTCAAGGGCGGTGCTCATCTCCATTTCAAAGCCAAAGAGCCAGCACTGTCCAAAGACATCTCCGTGGTCATGTGCCGGTATGACCAAACGCCGAAGGTGCACGGAATGCTGTTACCTTCCCACCAAAGGTGGTTCCTATTTTTTACATGCTTTCGAACTGCTAGGTTGGCAGAAGCTGAGACAAGAAACGGGAGCTCACTCTGTTATGCGGTGCTAGGGATTTGAACCGCTGAACTGCCGACTTTTCTGATTGACAACCTTAGCGTCTTAGCCACTGAGCCACCACTGCGTCCTTTTTGTTATAGGAATAGGACAACTTAAACAATTGGTGATCTCTATCCAGTCCATTCCTTCTATCTCATCTTCCTCTTCCAAGCTGAGAGATCCGGAAGGTGTTCTTATTGACCTAACAGAACTATGTGAGGTTAATATATAATTTAAAGATGGTTAAGACCTAGCTAACAAATGTAATAACTTCACAGAGCTGATTTTGAAATTGATGATTATAATTGCCTTATTTCAGGCTAAACCATTTGTTTTAATTAGCTGCTATCCTAGTATTTCTATTAATTTCTTTATAATTTTTGCATCCCAGAAAGCTTTTAGTCTTCAAGCATCTGTTCAACTTGGCAAACATTCCTATTGCTTGTCACGGCAAGTTATGTTTAAAGTTTAATTTAGCAAATCAGAAATCCTTAACATCTTCACTTAATTAGTGTTTTGTTGACTCAATTTTTGGCTGATAGTCTGGAGATGGGATACTCTGAGCAATACTGTAGAAAAGGAGACAAGGGAAGTAATGAAGTTCCTTTCTGTCCGTCTTAATCATGAATTGCATTATTTTTAAAAATATAATTTTAGTAAGGATTTAAATTGCAATAATATTAATTAAAACAAACTAAATTTAGAGAAAGAGAATGGAAACAAAGAAAAATATAAGAAAAGAGAAAAAGAAGAAAAAGAAAAGAGAGACTAAAGAAAAAGAAAATAAATAAATAAAGGAGTGATTAAAACCTTCATCACAAGAATAAACAAATGTAATACTTCTTCACCCCTTTAAGATTAAACATCTTGATCCTATATCCCATTCCTTATTATAAATCCATAAAACATCAATTTTTCAATCCTGATGTCAGCCAAAAGTCCATAAAGGTTGCCCCCCCAAAAGTCTATTAATTACATTATTCTTCATCTAGTTTTTATTTTTTTTTTTCTGGTTTAAAAGTGAAAATAAACATTTGTTTATTTCTTTGCCTGCCTTTTAACTCCATTGATTTTTGGCTAAACCAGTTGAAAGAGATTAGGGCTAATATTTGGAAAGGTCAACAGAGACAGTCTTGATTTTAATTGAAACTTGAAGCTCATTTTAAGGGTTTGTGTTTCTTGTTTTAGCTATTTTTTTGTTTATACCAATCTCAAAATATAAATATAAATATTGACTATCACATCGTTTTAATTTAGTGGCGATTCTTTTGTTGCTTGTCTTTAACTCTAGGAATGGTGTCTGTTTTGGACTTAATGCAAGGTGGTTTCCCATCACGAGCCTCATTCCATGAACTTTATAACATGTATAAAAAATATATGCCTGCAAAACTGACCCGTCTGGATCCGAGACTCTTCTGCAAGGTATTTATATTCAGAATGCAAATGCTTTTTTATATGTGCCTTTTTCATGGTGAGTTGATATTCACGGATACTTTTCTTCCTTTAAAGGATTTGTAAAACTGTCGATTTCTTTTCTTTCAGGCTCTCTTCAAAGCCCTTGGCTTAAATGAACAAGATTATAAATTTGGATTAACCAAAGTGTTCTTTAGACCTGGCAAGGTAAGCAATGTTGATATCTCTGAAGTATAAATGAACACAAATTGAGTTTAAAAAAAATTAATTTCTCTTCAACTTGCCTGCAAAATAATTGAGGTAAAGGATAGCATTACCTTTCTTGAAAGTAATTTCATAAGATGATGCATTGTCATTTGATCACTGCTAACATCTGTATTGACATGGGCATCTCCATGTTTAATGTATTGGTAGACACTATTTTGTTTATAGCTCTACCTGTGCTAAGAGTGGTATCCCCTGTGGTCTGTATGATGGTTAACCCCCCCCCCCTATAATTATTTACTATGAATGTGTTCTCTAAAAGGCAGATAAATAATACTTTTTTATTGCTTTGGTTCTGTGCTTTAACTTCATTCCTAGCTTAAAGTTGAGTGGAGACCCTCAATATAACTACCCTGTTTCCCCGAAAATAAGTCCTCCCTGGATAATAAACCCAATTGGGCTTTTGAGCGCATGCGCTAAAATAAGTCCTCCTCCGAAAATAAGCCAGCCCTCCCCGAAAATATTGCAACACAGCAGCAGCCAGAAGGTGACCACGCTTGCTGCCTCCTGCACCTCAAAAATAATAAGACATCCCCGAAAATAAGGCCAAGCGCTTATTTGGGGGGGGTGTCAAAAGAAAATAAGACCCTGTCTTATTTTCAGGGAAACATGAGATCAGAATCAGTAGTCACAATTTTTACTGTGTCAGAGATATATACAAATAGGCAGATTCTGAATGTAATTAAGGATCATGAATCAGAACCTCATGGCAACCACTGAGGTCTCTTCCCATTGTCATGACTGCAACATTCTGTTTACAACAGAATTCTCCATCTGTCAACATTCTTGTTGGTTATCTTAAATGGCATTTCCTCCCCAACCCCGTATTCAGTTTGCAGAATTTGATCAAATCATGAAGTCTGATCCAGATCATCTCGCTGACCTGATTAAACGTGTGAACCACTGGCTTCTCTGCAGCCGTTGGAAGAAGGTTCAGTGGTGTTCTTTATCAGTCATCAAATGTAGGTATTCAAAAATACATTGTGAGATGGGGTGATAGGGGGAGGATCACCACTGAGCTGTGGTGGTACATTGGTTAGAATGCAGTATTGCATGCCAATTCTGTCAACTGCAGAAGTTCCATCTTCTGAGGTCGGTAAAATGAGGACCCATATTGTTTGGGGCAATATGTTGAACTCTGTAAACTGCTTAGAGAAGTCTATAAAGCACTATGAAGTGGTATATAAGTGTAAGTGTTATGCTATTTCTATCATGTGAGCAAACTTAAAAAACTACCCACAACTGTGTCTTTTTAAGCTTACTTGGAAGACTAGAGTATTTTCTTTTCATAAAGAAATGGCAGAAATGTTGTGTGATTATCAAAAATCACAATTTAGGAATATTAATCTTGATTTTTGTGTACTTTTGCAATAATATTGAAAGTTTTGCCCTTTTCTGAAATTTCACAAGATACTGAAGGAAAACCAATGTTTTGCAAGATTTTTTGATCTTGTGAGAACCTGCTGAAAACCACTGCCCGAAAAAGCACGGTTCCACCACAAATGCGCGAACGACAAACGTGCGCCTGACTAAACCCTGGTGACAAAACCGCGCCAACAAAACCGCGTGATGAATGAGCGACAAATGAGCCCGGAAGCGCGCCGACAACAGCACGCCGACAGAAGCGCGCTGTAACCTAACCCTAACCCTAACCCTAACCCTAACCCTAAC